AAGCAAAAGATGTCCATGTTGCAAGATAGTGAAGATGAAGAGGAAGCTAGCTCTAGTAACACCATGAGAGCTAGGGCTCATGAAAAGTCCCATTCTGACTTCAAAGTTGATATTCCAATCTTTGAAGGGAAGAATGACCCGGATGAATTTCTTGAGTGGTTAGAGACAGTGGAACGAGTCTTTGATTTCAAAGAAGTCTCCGACGACAAGAAGGTCAAGATTGTGGCCTTAAAATTCCACAAGTACGCCTCCACTTGGTGGACGAACACCTGCACCAAACAGATTCGAAGTGAGAAGCCTCCCGTTGACTCATGGCAAAAGATGAGGAGTCTCTTGAAGAAGAAGTTCCTACCCACTGAATATTCCCGAGAGAACTTTGCTAAGCTTCAAACGCTTAGGCAAGGTACGAAATCCGTTGAAGACTACACCCGGGAGTTTGAGGAACTCCTACTCAGGTGTGACTTGCAAGAGAACAAAGAGCAAACCTTTGTAAGGTACCTTTTTGGCCTAAATCTCCAAATAGCCAATACGGTGGAGCTGCAAGGCTACACTACATTTGAATAACTTACTAAGTTGGCTCTCAAGGTTGAGTCACAAATGAAGAAATCCAAAGCCATTCTATCAAGAAACTCTACCCCTTTCTTGTTGGGGAAATTAATGATAACTTGGATGAATCGAGAGTTGTGTAAACACTTTCAGATTGAATATTTTGGTTGTTCACTCCAAAATTCAATCGAATAAAACTCGAAATTATCAAGAACGAAATATGAGAATTGCTGTGTAAAAAACCGAACGAAATTCGACCATGCCCAGGGGGATTTTATAGACTAGGGGTGAGAAGGAGAAGACACCATTCGCGGCTATTACCCAAAGCACGCAACTCTTCGCGCGGAAGTTTCTTCTTCAAAATTCGGTCCTATCCATTGGACCCCGCAGGGGCTGCCGCCCCTTGAACCCTGCTCGGGGGCGCTGCCCCCGAACCCCCGCCAAGGGGGCGCTGCCCCCTTGGAACCCCTGGTGTAACGGGTTTTATATCGTAACAAACTCAATGAAGCGTGCACTCTGCACCACCAAACTTCTTTGATGATTATTAGGATACCATTGGTCGTAGTTTTTCCAATTACACTAAAATATATAACATTCCTCACGTCCCACTTACACCCCCACCAAACCCCCTCCTACTGCCCACGGCCAAGCACCCAAACCCCTGTAGGATCATGCTTCCAGTAGAATTCATCAGGGGTGTTAGTGTCCAACTCCATAACCTGGCACTGCATAAAAGAAATAATGTTAGGTGGGAGGTTTGGAATTTTCTCCCAATTCCACCCACGAGAGCCATTCCAAAGTTCAGCAACCGTGGCATGCGGATCATGTCTGGTGCCAAAATCTTGCACCAAATCGCAAAGTGGTTTTTCACCGATCCAAGTGTCAAGCCAGAACCTCGTCATTTGCCCATTATGAACGCGGCAGTGAATGCCAGCTTCAATCATAGGCATAACTGTCATGATTCCTCTCCAGGCATTAGACGCTCCCTTCCTGTACCCAAAAATATTTTTCCCACCTTTCCCTTTAGCATATTTAGCAATCAAGATTTTGGACCAAAGAGACTCCTTCATTGAGTAGTCTCCAACCAAGTTTGGCAATGAAGGCTTGATTCATTTCCTTGGCAGTTTTGATCCCCAGGCCACCCAATTCTTTTGGCTTTGTGACTTGTTCCCAATTTACAAGGTGGCACCTCTGGTTATTACTTGTGCTGCCCCATAGAAAACCCCTCACTTTTCTATCAATAGCTTCCAAAACCCCTGTCGGTAGCATCGTTGATTGCATGACATAGTAAGGAATGGTGGTAAGTGCAGACTGGGCGAGAATTCTACGACCGGCCATTGTTAAGAGCTTGGTTCTCCAGCCTTCCAATTTTGCATCTAGTCTATCAAGAATAGCACCAAACATGTCATTTGTGACTCTTCCATGGATAGAAGGGACTCCTAAGTACTTTCCAAGGTCATAGGACCTGGGGATATTAGCAAGTTCACTGATTCCCCTCGCCTCTTCAATCGAAACATGCTTTGAAAAAAAAGTTTGGGACTTGTGGAGACTGACTTTCTGTCCAGAAGCTCGGCTAAATTTATCAAGGCACTCTTTAATGATCTTGATTTGATCTTGTGTGGCCTCTGTAAAAAGTACTAAATCATCAGCAAAAAAGAGATGAGAAAGTGTAGGACCATGCCTGGACGAGCGGATTCCCTTCCATTTCCCTCTCTGAACAGTGTCTTTAATAAGGTGATTCAGTCTTTCCATGCATAAGACAAATAAGTAGGGCGAGATGGAATCTCCTTGCCTGATTCCTCTCGAAGGTTGGATCCACTCAAGCTGCTTACCATCCCAAATCACACTTAATCTAGCAGTTCCACACAAGCCATAATGTTCCTTGTCCAATCCTTGCTCAACCCAATTTCATTTAAGGTGTCTTTTATAAAATTCCAATCGAGTCTATCATATGCTTTCTCAAGGTCAATCTTGAGGACCATATACTTTTTCCCTCCTTGCGCTTTACGCATGGTATGGAGGACCTCTTGGTAAATCAGAATGTTATCAACAATTTGCCTTCCTGGGACAAAACTGCTTTGCTCGGGCCCAACAAGAACATGAAGGATGGGTTTTATTCTGTTCGTGATGGTCTTGGTGATAACCTTGTAGATCACATTGCAGAGACTGATTGGACGAAATTGGCTCATGTTTTCAGGATTTTGGACTTTAGGAATAAGGGTCACAAATGTATCATTAATACCTGTTTCAAGCTGTCCAGTATCCATAAATTCCATCACTTGCTTAGTGATAGAGCTGTTGACCACCTCCCAAGCCTTCTGATAAAAGTCTGCGTGAAAACCATCGGGGCCAGGAGCCTTCAAGGGGGCCATGTCAAATAGGGCATCCTTCACATCCTTGGCGTCAATTCATTTATAGACCTCTGACCAAATATCCGTACTAATTTTAGGGAATTTGCCTTTAAGAGCCCACTTGATATCCACGTCATCATCCTTAGTGAAAAGCTTGGTATAGAATTCCAATACCACCTTCTCCATGTCTGTATTACTGAGGGGGGAGCCATCCATTGAGTGGAACTTTATAGGACGCTTCCGAGTCCTTCTCATAGTAGCCACAGCATGATAGTATTTGGTATTGAGATCTCCCGAAGTAATCCATTTTTCCCTAGATTGTTGGAACCAGAGAATTTCCTCTTGGTGGAGGGTTTCTTCAAGCTCTTTTTTCAACTTCTTTTCAAGCTTGATGAGGCCCGTATGAGGATTCTTGTCCAAGGCACCTTGTACTCCTTCAAGTCTTCTAGTTAGAGTCTTTTTCCTTTGATAAATGTTGCCAAAAGTGTCCCGGTTCCAGTTATCGAATGCAGCAGCCATGTTTTTGGAGTTGGCCTGGACAGTACAGTTCGGGTCCCAAGTCTTATTTATCACATTCATGAAGTTAGTGTGACTAGCCCACGCACCTTGATATTTAAAGCCAGTACGCCTTGTAGTTCTAATGTTGCCGAATGAAAGCAACAAAGGACAGTGATCTGAATTAATCGCTGTCAAGTGTCTAACATCAGTATCAATGTTCTTGTCAAGCCAGTCAATTGAACAAAGTGCTCTGTCCAGTCTGGCCCCCTTGAACGTCGTGCCCTCGTTGCCTCTTTTCCATGTGAAACATTGTCCAGAAAAGCCCATATCTAGTAGACCTTCATCAAAGATCCACTCGTTGAAATTAGAGCACCGGTGGTAATCAAACTGATCAGGATTGCTTACTTCATCTCTATGCATAACTGAGTTAAAGTCTCCAGCGGTGATCCAAGGGGTGATAATGCCAACCTTATCCCTTCTTAGCGCACTCCAAAGTTTCCTACGCAGGTGGCGAGTGGGGCTAGCATAAACAACAGCAAGGCTGAATTTATTCCTGCTATCAAGCCGAACCTCCATAACCATAAATTGTGGGTTGGTGGCTGAAATAGTGACTTCCACCGAATTATTCCAGAGAGTCCATATTCCTCTGCTGAACCCAACAGCTTCAATTCTGTTCCAATTATCAAAATCCAAACTCTGACAAACCTTGTTAGCATTCATTCCCGAGGTTTTAGTCTCTAAAAGACAAGAAATGTCTGGTTTGTGAGATTGAATAAACCATTTGGCAGCTCTAAGAAAGCCTTTAGACGCCGCCCCTTGACAATTCCAAATGATAATCTGCATGGATAAGCAAAGAGAAAAAAGAGAAACCAAAGCAAAAACAAGTATTAACAGGATCCACAATAAGAATCAACACAAATGTAATCGGAGGCAAGTGAGGGTGCGAGATGGAGCCATTAAATCTCCAACTCCATGCCCACCACCTCGTTACCTGCCACGTTCAAGTCACTTTGGGGGTCTACGCATGTTTGCTTTGTTTTAGGCTCCTCGTTAGAAGGCGGATCATTGTGGTGCTCTTATTCATGATAACTTGAATAGCATCCTCGATGTTGTTGCCAAAACTATCATTGGGAATTCGTTGCACATTCATGACTCCTTGTTTGTTCCCTTGAAAACCAACATGCTCCTCGCTCTCAGCTGCCCTATTTCGGCTGCCAGACTCGCTCCCTTCTTCTCTATCTCTGCTTTTTCCCGCGTGTGCCTGTCTTTCCTTATGTTTTCCATGGTTGTTGTTCCCTTCAATTTGTCTTTCATTCACTTGTACCGCCGGTCGTTTCCCTCTGTTTCCTTGGCTTTGATTCCTTCCAGGGGTTGACTCGTAAGCATCCCTAGAAACCGGTTGCCGATTCTCGCTAGTTAATTCCACGTTGTCAAGATCTTGGATTTCCATATAAGGATTGTTTTCAGTCAATACTTGGAACCTCGTTCCCCGATCCTGTTGGTACCCTGGAACAGATCCTTTCTTGGGTTGTTGGAATTCCTTTCCATGTTTAGCTTCCCTTTGATCTCTTTTTCCCTGGTTGTTGATGACACGACGCCTTTGACGCGAGGCCACCATCCAGGCCCCATAATTCTCCACAACTTCTGGTCTAATCAGCCCCTCACTTCTTGAGGTTTGCTCTACCCCTTTTTGACTTCCAATCCTACCATTGGCGGTGGCACCCTCCATTATCGAAATATCATTACCAGTCTCACCAGTATCTTTGTTAGCTTCGGTGTTCTTTTTTGGGCATTTTTCCTCAGTGTGACCGTAAACTCCACAGTGAAAACATATCATGTGCAAGCCTTCATAAGAAATGCATCTAACACGCCTTCTTAGAGTGAACTTAGATAGAAGTGGTTTTGTTATGTCCACTTCTACACAAACTCTAGCAAACCTTGCCCTTGATACAAGACTTGTAGTAGTGTCAATGGTGATTGGACGGCCAATCTTCTCTGCCACCCTCATTAAGAAACTGTAGTCATAATATTCAACAGGAAGGCTTGGGAATCTCACCCAAACCAAAACCTTCTCTGTAGAATCCTTAAAGGGATCAAAGTTTGGCATCCATTCCTTCACAATTAGATAATGGTCAAGAACCATCCAGGGGCCACCATACTTAGCAAATTCATAGTCATCAACAGAGAGGAATTTAACTAAAAAATAGTCATTTTCGAGTGTTACCAGTTCCATTCTTGCTTTGGGATGCCAAATTGCTGCCAGTCTCTTCTGTAGATACGTATACCCAACCGTTCACCCAAGTACTTTAATGATCAATGTTTGTCTCCATGGTGATCTGAGCCTTGCTTTCTCCTCTTTGGTTAGCCTAATGACTGGGCATTCTGCATCTTCTTCTTCATCAAAGCCCACATCTTCATCGTCGGATGTCATTTCGATCTCAAACTCTCCCGATCTTTCGTTTCCTGTTTCCCCAGTAAGAGCCGTTCGATAAGAAATTCCAACATTCTGGTTCATGTCTGTAGACATACTTCTCTCAACAGATGGGGTGGGTTGGGGAGTGGATAAAGCACCTTCTGTGATCTTTGTCTTCTTCGCACTGGGTTCGAGCATATCAAGACCCGCTGGATCATTCAGCGGTGGGGGTGTTTCCTCTGCCATAAGTACCGTTAAAACCACTTTAATTCTTCGTTACCCTCAAATCTTGAAGAATTTCAAGGATTCCTTCAGATGATATGGTTGCAACAGGGAGGAGAACAACAAGATGCAATCAATTCAGCATTCGATTGGGCGGAGCTGGGTGGGCTAAGCTCGACTTCATCACGGGACTGCCTAGGACACAACGAGGGAAAGATTCAATCATGGTCGTGGTAGATCGGTTCTCAAAGATGGCCCATTTCGTGCCATGCTTAACCACACATGACGCCTCACAAATCGCTGATCTCTACTTCCGAGACATTGTTAAATTACATGGGATTCCTCGAAGCATGGTATCGGATCGGGACAGCAAATTCCTTAGTCATTTTTGGATGACACTTTGGAGAAAGATGGGAACCAAGCTCAAATTTAGCACCTCTCACCACCCTCAAACCGACGGCCAAACAGAAGTAACGAACCGAACCCTTGGAACATTGTTACGGGTGCTCATCAAGAAGAACATAAGGCAATGGGAAGAACTTCTACCCCATGCGGAGTTTGCTTATAATCGGACACCAAGCAAGACAACCGGTTTTTCTCCATTTATGGTTGTTTATGGTTCTAACCCCCTTACCCCACTTGAACTTGATCCAATTGTGATAACACAGAAATATAGTGCGGAAGCCGAGGAACGAGCCAAGGAGATTCAAGACCTTCACGCCTAGGTCCGAGAGAGAATTGAAGCAATGAATGAGAGAGTGAGTGCACGAGTCAACAAGAGAAGGAAGTCCGCTGAGTTCAAGCCTGGAGATTTGGTTTGGATTCATCTTCGGAAAGAGCGTTTCCCCACAAAACGCAAGTCCAAGCTACTGCCCCGAGCGAATGGTCCCTTCGAAGTTCTAGAGAAGGTCAATGATAACGCCTACAAGATCAATCTACCGGGAGAATATGGAGTCTCCGCCACATTCAACATCGCCGACCTCAGCCCCTACTTTGAGCCAGAAGACATTCCGAGTTTGAGGTCAAACTCTTTTGAAGAAGGGGAGGATGATATACCCCGGGGTACACCTTCACACACGCCACTAGTATTAAAAGAAATCATGGGTTTAATGTCTAGGTGTTATGATCCATTTTGGGTTGAACTCATTGATCCATCCCACACCAAAACCCAAACCATGACCTATCTCTCCCAAAACCCAACCTAGGCCGAAATGCCTACAAGCCCAACCCACTCCCACATATCCAAAGTATTTTTACTACTCAAATAAAGCCCTTTTCCTCTCCTTTGAAGCCCTAGCCAAAATTGAAAGGAAAAGTTGTAACACCCTAATCCGTCCAGGTCTGCAGCCCCTTTCGGACTAAAGTATTAACTTGGTAATCGTAAAATTTAAAACTTTTCAAACACTTTTATTTATTATAATAATATTTTTCATATCATAAACAGTACAGAGTTTTCAATATTGCGGAAGCTTAACAAATTATAACCACAAACATAATTTATTTATATTCTTTAATTCAAAACCATCACATCCATTCTGACTATCTCGCCTCCGTCTGCCTCCAGGATCACGTCACATCATTCTATTGACCTGCGTGTAGCAAATAAAACACACTACACGCTCAGCGGTAAAGCTGAGTAAGCATATCTAATGCGCCAAACATCCACATAAATTGAATCTCAATTCATAATCAACCATTTGATATCATGCACATAATGTTCAGTTTAGATATTCAATAATCAATATTCATTATGTATATTCATCATTCATATTCAACATTTTTATTCAACATACATCATACAATATTCATCATTTGTCATTCAACAATATCCTTAAACTATTCTTAGTCTAAGGCCAATCTATTTGATGTTTACCAACTCTTAAACGAATTCTAGTCTAACATAGTTAAACTATATTCAAGTTTAAGGTACTCTTATCTAACCCTTAAGCTAGGCCTAGTTTAAGATATAAATTTTCAAAAAGAGGTTTTCAAAATCTTAAACTTACCTTCGATTAAGGTCATCCAAAAACCGAACAGCGGATCCGAAATGCTCACTGTCGGGTTGGGTGGTATCCCCAAACGAGTGCCTCAAGTTTGGTTTGTAGATCCCGTACGTACGTTTTAACCCAGGCCACCGAATACTCATGATTATACCCGCNTCAACATAACATTCGATAGCAAATAGCGGCCTAGCTTCGAGTGTTAACACCCGAACTTACCGTCATGCATCACATAACATTTTATTTGTCAAAAACATCATTTTTATTGTGGTGAATCGTTTTTATAATAATCATATTCAATTGGTATTAAAAATAGGATTTTGTGGTTCATAATTTGGATTTTCTGGAAAACTAATCGGATCAGACGGTACCCTTCACGGTACCTCGGTACCGGTTAACGGCACCTTGGTACCGTGCCGACGGTAGGGTGTACCGCCGGTGGACAGGTACCGCCAGTGGAATTCAGTGGAGACGATAGCAACCCTACCGTCCCGGCGGCAGGTGGGTACCGTTTGGACGGTATCTAGCTACCGTTCCGGCGGTAGTTCGTTACCGTGTACTGTTCATCATCTTCTACCTCGGGTTTAATTTTGGGAATTCCATTTTTAGTCACCAAACTTCAATTAAACTATATAGAATGTTCTCCAATGTTCATAGATCATTTTGGTGTCATTAATTCATAGTTTTATCATTAAATTCAAGGTTTATGATTCTCGGTTCTTCGAACATGTCAAACACAAAACTCAACCAAACGACCGTTTATGAACGTAGAAACGATCTATACGAACATTCTAGTCATTAGATATATCAACGGGCTTACATCGAAGCTTATTGAAGGTTTTGGAAATTTTCCGGCGAAACTTCCGGCGAGGTTTGTGGCTAGCTCTGGCGACTTCACAACAAAATGGCAGCACCAGTGCACTCCTCTCTCAACAAGGAACAGAATAGAAAGAAATATGGAGTGTTTCTAATGAAGAATTGAGGAAGATGGAATTCCTTATATAGAGAAGGTGAGAGGGAAGAAGACGCAGGATGATGATGATGGATCCGCTAGTGCGCTGGGAGGCGCCGATCGAATAGGTCTCTGATTGGGACCAATTTTGGTTCTAGTCGGAGTACACTTTTTGGTCCAACTTTCTCCGAATTGAAATCTGATTGTACCGTTTCGATCAGACAGTCGAATTCTATTCAACGATATATTTTTTTCATACTTATTTGTAATACTTTTTCCGACATCATATTTTTGGTGTTTGACTCTAACAGAGTCAAAATTGGTTTAATTGACTTTTATTCAAAAAGGTTTTCACATATAATTCATATTATTTATTTCCATGATTTATTTCAATAAATCATTTCAAAGTTCACATTACAAACAATTTCTTCATTTATTCTTAATTTGGGTCTGTACTCAGGTTTCCAATCAAGATCACACAATAAGTCAACAGGTTGGATTTATCTTTATGAGATTTAACCCAATTATGTTTATTGGACATCAATGTATATTTTATTTCGGCCCAAAGCCCAACAATAATTTATTTTACTCAAAACAAATTTTGTTTAATTGAATATTTTATTCAATAAATTTTAGGGTATATTTTGGGGCGTTACATTTCTCCCCCCTTAAAGGAATTTCGTCCTCGAAATTCTTCTAAGGCTCAACGTTCAAAATTTCGTATTGATCATACTTAATCATGACCGTGTCATGTTCATTTAGTTAAAACATATGCACGTCATTATCCACACGGATATGTATTCTCAAATCGTCGATGTTACGAAACTCGTTCTTTCTTCAAGAGATTAACTGTTATACCCGAACCGGGGGTCTAAACATGTGGCTATTTTGATGAGGAATCAAGGAATGATTCAGCTTTGAGTTCAGGGTTCTGAAGCAGGTGATAATCGATTTACACAAAGTGACAATCGATTATTGAAGGCTGCAGAATTTCTGGGGAAGCTGATAGTCGATTATCTGGAAAGGATAATCGATTATTGATCCCTGCAGGTGTTTCCAATGGGATTGATATTCGATTGTGGGGAATGATAATCGATTATTTGGCAGAATTCTGGGCAGGAAGAAGGGTATTTTTGTGGGGGAATGGACTGGAAATATATGGAGTTGATGAGGGAGTTCTTTTGGGTATTTTAATTGGAAGAAAAGAGTGAGATTAAGAGGAGAAATGGGGGGATATGAAATGGAAGAAAATCAGGGATGGATAAACCAAGTTGGTGTTTAAGAGATATTACACACTCTTATCCTAACTTGGGGTTTGAATCTAGAATTTAATTAAGATATGACACACTTAATTAAATATCTAGAACCTAAAACTCAAACTTAAGATAACCACTTCTTAAGATATAGAATTAGGAATTTGGCTAAAATAGCATCACACTATTTTATAAATACTCAAAGAGTAAAGGGGAGTTTTTATTATTCAAGGTGTGTTTTACAATGACCATATGGCCTGATTATATAGGCAGGGGAAGGGGGGAAAGAAAACACAATACATTGAATGTAGACATAAGGAAACTTCCTAGCAACATCCACCTCCAAACATGGGGTAATCTTTCTTCAATCCTGTCTCCTGGGTGGTCTTAAAAATCAGAGATGAGGCTGGGTTTGTGGGGGTTGTGAGCTTTGGTTTGTAGTGGTTGTTTTCTGGGTTTTAAGGCTATTATTTGGGTAAATATGAGGGGTTGTGTTTGCTGAGAAAAGGGGGCAGGGATGGGGGGTTATAATGGGTGGTTTTGGACTTATAGGTTTGGGTTATTTGTGAGGGAATATGGGCAGGAATGAGTGGCTAGTGGTGGGTCAGGGTTTGGCCCTTTGTGGGTGTTTATATTGGGATTGTGAAGTGTATTTTGGCCACGGGTGAATGGAATAGAGGGTGGGTTTTATTTGTTGAATAAAAGGCTTAAAAGAAGGAAAATAACAACAAACAAAAGGTTTTATTTTACACAACCTTATTTTTGGCCAGGGGCTTAAATAAGAGTAGGAAAAATTTTATTTTGAAATGAAGTAAATGGCAAGGAGTTTTGGATATTTTGGGTTGGGTTGGACGGAGTGGGAGTTGGCCTGTGGAACCCTCG